AGTATAATTGCGAGATTTATAAATTTATATAATTTACCTAAACTTATTTTTTCACATATGCATATACATATAATGTCAAAATATGATATATTAAAATATATTTGTAATTTAAGGTTCATGTTTCATTGAGCATTTTCTTGAGACGGTTTCATTTTTAGTACACTTCATTTTCAGATAACATATGTACATTGTACTTCTGCGCATTTCGGGCGACAGACATTGCTTATGTTGTTTCCGATTCATTACCACAAGGCTTTGCAAACACTTTCTACTCAGAAACAACATTTGTACGCCTCGACAAGTTGTTCCGCACAATGTCTCTTTGGAATGCTCCGTCACGAAGACCCATATTATCATTCCAAGGATTGGTAGTCAAACGCCACTGCGTATTCTGTCTAATTTTTTTTATAATCGGGGCATCAGGGGTGCGGTCCCACACACTGAAGCGCACCATAAGAGCGTGAATCTAGTTACACATTATGAGGTTCCATCCCAAAACTAATTGATGGTAGGAAGAATAGCCCACTAGGCTTATAAGTTAGACCCATTTTTCTGTATAAACAATGTGGGACAACTCACAAGTGTATATTCTAAGTTTGTAACATATTCCTCTCTTTCATCATGTAAGCCTTGACCAGCTTCTTGCAAGGGCTCTTGTAGTGGTCCACACGTTTAACTCATTGGTTAGGCTTGCTTGTACGCTTGTTTATTAATGCTTACTCTTTGTCTTTCGTATCATTTATTGTCTCTTAAGCTCTATGAACTATTTATTTATTTATTTATTTATTTGCGCATTATGATTTATTGCGTACTCTTCAACTGCGAGACGAATTTTCCATGTATGATTGAGTTGTAGAAGAAATGATGGTTTGTTTCCTTTTGTTCAATTGTTTTTTATTTGTCGTAAACAATGTTTAATTAATCTTTTTAATTACATCTAGTTTACCTATGTCTTTGTTACTATTATGGTTTTATGTTCTATCACATGTAGGGCTGCACATTCGGTCGAAACCGAATCGAACCGACCAAATTTTCAGTTAACCAAAAATTCCGTTTGACCGTAATTAAAACTAAAAACCGAACCAAAAACTACGGTTCGGTTCGGTTAAAAACCGAAATTTTTTCGGTTTTATCCGTTCGGTTATCGGTTATCCGATAAAATAGTGAAATAGCAAAAATACCAAAAAAAACTAAAATGCATAAGAAAAAAAATAAGATAACTTGTCCCAAAAAAAAAAAGATAACTGTGACGGCCTGCCGGGTGGAGAGTATGCGGGAGCAGAACGGCGAACTAGCAAGGCGATTTGGGATTTCAAAATTCCGACGACTTGGGATTTCAGACTTCAGCGAACCGACGCCGAGCGACCGGAGATGGAGCGGGTGATTTGTGTGTCGTGCGACAGACAGACGGAGAAGATGCAGTGGTAGGTAGGGTTTTTTTCGTGGAAGTTGAGACGGACTAAGAGTGAGTTTGAGGAGTTGGACGATTTTGTTTCTGTGAATGCCTGTATGGAGATAAATTGGGCCTGCTCCATTGTATCTTTGGGCCTGTAATGTTAATACTTAATACCAATTAATGTAATACATACTTATATGAGTTATACTGGGCCTTTTATAACTTATATAATATCGGTTTTCGATTCAGTTCGGTTAACTGACGGATTGTAACCAAATCGAACCGAAAACCAAAATACTAATAAACTTAAAACCGATAACCGAACCAATTTGTCGGTTTCAGATTCGGTCGAAACCGAAAATTCGATTTCGGTCAATTATCCAAAATCTGTGCAGCCTTAATCACATGCATGTTATTTAGTAGCAATACTAATTTATTATAATTATTCTAATATATGGACTAATTATTACTCAGACTTTGTGAAACTTGTTCAATAAGTTTTGTATATATACATGAATATCCTTTTTGTATTTCTATAAATTGTTGAGTCAAGAAATAGCAGCAACCCCCTTTCTTTGACAACAACATTAGAAGAAAANNNNAAAAAAAAAAAAAAAAGGCAGCAGCCTAGCAGCCTACAATTGGAGAATATGGAGTGCAAGTTCACATTGCACTCCCCATTTATAAATAGAGTAATTATGATGAACACACAACACGCCAAGTGCAACGTCCAAAAAGAGAGAAAAGAAAGAGAAAAAGGGTGTAAGCAAGAAACAAGAATTTTAGCTTATGTGTGTATTTGAGTTGTGAGTTGTGAGTGAGTTTAAGAGTGTTTTGTAAACATGTTCTTTTCTTCTAATAAAATATCTGTAGTAGTCCGGAGACGTAGGCATTATTGGTCGAACTCCGTTATCAATTTGGTGTGTCCAACTTTTCACTTTTATTTCACTTTATCCGACTTCATAGAAAATTCAGCTTATTTTTTCCAACAACTGGTATCAGAGCCAAATTTTTAGTTCTGTAATTTTTTGTGTGAAGTTACTACTTCGTGAATAGTGTCAATTTTATCGGCGCTACAAATTTATCTACTGACTGTTCTGAAACACGGTAGTTCACAAAATTATGAGGAACGATCCGACAGAGAAGTCAGATCAGAGTCGAAGTGATGGCTGCAGACGAAAGAAAAATGAAAATGGAAAAGTTCGATGGTGCAGACTTTGTCTTTTGGAAGATGCATATCGTGGATTGTCTGTACCAGAAGAATATGTATCAACCACTCACATGAAAGAAGCCTGAGGACATGAAGGAGGAAGAATGGAGTCTCCTTGACAGACAAGCTCTTGGAGCAATTCGGCTGACGTTATCCTGTAGTGTTGCTTTAAACATTGCAAAATAAAAGATGACAGCAGGCCTCATGAAGGCTCTTTCCAACATGTACGAGAAGTCGTCATCCTCAAACAAAGTTCATTTGATGAGGCGACTGTTCAACCTGCGGATGACTGACAGTGCTCAAGTGGCACATCATCTCAATGAGCTGAACACCGTCACAACCCAGTTGAGTTCAGTTGGGATTGAGTTCAATGATGAAGTACGGGCTTTAATACTTTTGTCTTCCCTACCAGAAAGTTAGAATGCTACGGTCACGGCTGTGAGTAGTGTTTGTAGTATTTTTTGGGCATGTGGTAACCGAGCTACCCGACTTGGGTCGATCTCGAATGAAGGCTATTCGGAGCTTTGTCTACTAGATGATTGTCCAAATCACAAATATCGAAAATAAAATCCTAAACATTCTAAACAGTTGATTGGATGGTTGATTAACACT